AGAACCTGGATTGATGTCTGGTCCCTCTCAGTCCCAAGAGCGAACAAACTCCCAAAGAGCACAAACAAAAGCCTTCCCCCCCCTCCCCCCCAGATTTGAAAGTATCTTGTCCCCTTATTGGTCCTTTGGGTCAGGTGTCAGCCAGGTTACCTGAGCTTCTTAACCCTTTACAGGTAAAAGATATTGGAGTCTCTGGCCAGGAGCGATTTTATAGTACTGTACACAGGACAGCTGTTACCCTTCCCTTTATAGTTATGATAGAGGCGGTGGAGGAAGGCACGTGCCTGCACACTCCACCTGCACTGTAGAGGAGTCTGTGCAGGGTCTGAAGGTGGAAGGTGTAGACCTGGCTGTGGATGCAGACGTGGCCCAGTCTGCTTTCCCCACAGGGGAGGCTCAGGACACCTGCAGAGACCCAGTGTAGCCCCCTGCAGAAAAATTCCTTCTGGAGGTGGGCCGGGGTGCATGGGGTGGGCTTGGCTCCTGAATCACTGCCCGAGCAAGGCCAGGACCAGCTCGTTGAGCACCAGCATCCTCCTCCGAAGGGAAAGACACCAAATCAGCCCCATCCCCCTCTGCAACCAGTCAGACACCTAGATTGATTCAATTCGCTGGGGAGGAATTAGTGGCAGAAGGGTACACACCCACATAGAGCAGTGGGCCCAGGCCCCACCAGAGGGCCCCAGGCTCCAGTGGGAGGTAGGCCGTCTCAATGCCACTCCACTGGAGTTGGCCAGGCTCATGGGCTGCTAATGCCATGGCTCTGCCTCGCTCATCAACTCATGCTGTGCAGCTGTGGCTTGAGCCTGGCCAGCTCCTTCAGCGCAGTGGCCGTCACGGTGAGCGGAGGCAAAGTCTCCATGTGGCTGCGAAACACTTTGCAAGTCTCTTCAATCCCACGCCCAGGTCACAATCTCAGCCCATGCAGGCTGCCCTCAAACTGAGTCCCGGCTCAGCTCCTGCCAGCACGTCTTTCCCTTTCAACTCCTCCCTCTTCTCCACCCTCTCCCTAGGGCCCCCCTTATCCTCCTACCCCTTTCCCCTTCCTCCCACTGACTAACTTCCTCTTCACATTCACAATGCAGCGGGTTCTCAGCTCTGGCCGGCAGCGGCTCCAAACCCGTTCCTGCGGTGGAGTGTTTTTCTTCCCCTCTTGATCCGGAGCAGCCCGGGAGGAAAAGCCTGTCAGGGCTGAATTTACAGCCCTGGATGCCTGCCTGGCCCGATCGCTCTCACGCGGACGGAGTAGAGCTGGGACCAGCGCTCCCTCGCTCGGAGGTGGATGCGGCGTGGCTGGGAGCGCACGGCGGGCTTTGGGAAGAGAGGTACCCAGACGTGGCTGCTGAGCGCCCGGCTTCACCGGCCTGCCCAGCGCAGACAGCCCCTTCCTCCGCCGGAGCCGCCCGCTGGCTCTGGACCATGCGCCCGGGGAGGGCCAGTTTACCTGCGGGGAGCAGCCGGTCCCGGCACCAGCAGCCACAGGTAAGCCCAGCCGCCCCCCACTCACAGCAGCCAGCCGGTTAAGTCAGGACAACGCGCTGGGGGCGAGGCGAGACATTTCAGTCTCTCGTTTGGCCATCCCTGGCTGTCCCCGTGCTCAGAGGAGAGGGGCACTGCCAGACCCGCAGCCTGCGACTGCCCCGTGAGCTGGGGGCAGAACAAGTCACTCTGCAAAATTGCTTCGTCTCTCCATTCCCCAGCACCCCCTTAAAAAGCACCGCATAGTTTGTCGTGTGAGGCAGGGAGCGGAGAGGAACTGAAAGATCTGTTATTGCATCAGATTACTGGAGGCTGGGGGAATAGAAACTGGAGAGGTAAATGTGGTTCCTCCCTCTGTGTAGGAAACTCAGCATGGACTGTGCAGAGGCCTGGGTGGGGATCTGAGATGGAGAATTCCTTGACCATCCCCCCTTTCTTGGGTATTACCAAGGCTTTTAGCTAGTTGTTTAGTCTACTTGGTGGATTTGGGCTAATGCCAAAAATGTGCTTCATAGAATGATTCTATGATGTCTCTTGGCAAGTTCCTTCTTTTTCTTACAGTCTGGAACCATTTGTTTTTAAGAAAACTCTCCATTTTAAAAAAGAATCTTAATTTTTTATTTTAAAAAATGCCTTTTTTTCTGTCATCCTGAGGTGCCCCAGCATGTATGCAAGCACAACTTCTGGAGAGGAAGAGTTCTCAAATTTCAATTTTCTGTGTATAGATTCTTCTATGGTCTGTTTAAACCTGATTCACTAGTGGTATTTATTGTTTCTCGTTTCCCTTCAATTTTATCACTCCTTAACAGTGATAAAATGACTGGACTGGAGCCTGGCCTGTGGCCATGAGAATAACTTTCAGCAACTGGCAATATAATCTTTTGTAAAAGGGCTGGTTATAATCCGGTGTCAGAGGGGCGGATTATAACCAGCCCCTTTTACAAAAGATTATATTGCCAGTTGCTGAAGTTATTCTCATGGCCACAGGCCAGGCTCCAGTCCAGTCATTTTATCACTGTTAAGGAGTGATAAAATTGAAGGGAAACGAGAAACAATAAATACCACTAGTGAATCAGGTTTAAACAGACCATAGAAGAATCTATACACAGAAAATTGTAATTTGAGAACTCTTCCTC